CACTAGCTCTGAAGCCACTGGTAGACATCGCGGTTGGAATTATCAAAGGTTTTTGACACCTGAGAGACACCGTAGAGTGGGGTGGGGGGAGGACCAGGGAGGATGATTCAACCACTCAACCACTAGATGTCGCTGAAAACAACAAATCCTACACACTGTGCCTTTAATAGAACAAAATACATCCAGAGGACCTACTTATTTTTTTTTGAGACCAAAATACAGTTTCAAAGCAAATTAATTCAAATTCAAAACTTTAAAGTCAGTTTCAATTTAGTGAAATATATCTTCAAACCAATGCATTCAATTTGAAATTATGCACATTCAGATTTGATCTGAGCAATTCAAATTCAAATCCTGCTGGCACAAGATTTATCCCACAGTTTCCATCAGGCAGAACTGAAAAGGTGAAATTTCATTATGAGATTAATTTTGTGAAATAAATCAAATGAACATGTTTTGTAGAGCCCACAGATGGATCCTAACTTGTTCTAGCGCCCCCACATTAGGCCACTTTTAAAAAGATTAGTGGTTTATTACATATTTTGCTTAAAGACACACACACACACACACACACACACACATTATTGTTCCTTTTTGCCTTTAGGCTGCAAGCGACATTCAGAGGTATTAAGTCAGATTTTGTTCCTCTTCTCTGCTTAAATCTCCACCAAACAAGGTTTTCTTGTGTCGGCTGTTAGAGCTGCAAACCTTTGGTTTTCATAAAAACTCCTAATTACAACTTATGAAACATTAAAGAGGGGCGGAGTGATAGAAGTAAAGCCGCGCTGTGACAACAACAACTCCTCCCTCTGACGGTGGACACCTCCTCTTCGTCTCTTTCATAACTCTGAGGTTGTATCACCCTCGGTCACACACGGCAGCAAAACGCCGGGTACTTTGTCACGTGACCATGTTGTAGACGGAGGCTGACATGTTGGTTTGGGGGGAAAATAGGATGAGTTCCTCTGTGTGGAAAATAGGGAAAATGGTAAAAAGTTGCTGTAGGACTAYACTTCTCATGTAAAGAAAACATCCAGAGATAAAATATTTATTTTTTTCTAACTGTAAGAGTGAGGGGAGAGAAATACGACACGTGTTGTCGTTCTGCCTCTGCAGACCTTCCTGCTTCACCTTGTTTAAAAAGAATCACCTCATTATTTTGATTTAAAACACACTAAAACTGGCGAAAATGAAGAGTAAACACTCAAAACTACACATTAACTATAAAATCCAAACATTTTAAAGTCACAGATCTAATTAATAAAGTCTTGTCCTCACTGCCTCTTCATTGCTGCCAATCTCCATTCAAATTTTGCCTCTTTTTATTTTCTTCTTCCTGTAGGTTTTTTACTGCTTGTCAGATAGCTGTGAGCTTCAGTCAAAAAGGAGATCTGAGGGGTTATATTTTTTCGGTCTAAGAGAAAGAATCTGAAATTGATCAGTGGTTTCATGAGATATTTTATTAACAGACACATATTATTGTTCCATTTTGCCTTTAGGAAGCAAGCGACATTTTGAAGCATTAGTTTCACCCTCCTCGTATTAAATTTCATCCAAATAAGTTTCGCTGGTGTCAACTGTGAGAGCGCCACAAACACTTTGCATGAAGTCGAAACAGGTTTTCCTCATTAATTCTTATGAAACTTTTTCCAGAGGTGTGGGGAGATGGAAGAAAAGCTCAGACATGATACAACAATTTCTCCCTCTGGCAGTAGACACCTCCCTTCACACTTTCAGTTCCTTCCCTCCCAAAACCTTTGAGTTTCTATCCCCCTCAGTCACACTTCAGTCCAAACCCTGGCAGGTTGCTGTCAGACCCGAGCGCAGTGCAGAAGTGACTGCATTCTTCTGATGGTGATTCATCTGCCCGCCGTAGACCATCACTTTCTCTTTTCAGAACACGCCGCCTGTCAGCCAGGCGTTTGGAGTCGGATTGATCCCAAACSTTCGTCGGTTGTTGGTGCAAGTTTTGTTAAAAATGTTCAAGTTTGAAGCAAAATCTCTTGAAGTATGTTTTGGGAATGCCTCAATTACTGCCTCGCCAAATTTTAGCACAAAATAATGAACCTATAATCCATGTTTGTGTTTTTTCAGGTCAGATGATTGTGGCGTCCATCTTACTGTAAAGTTGGTTCAAATAAGGTCCCGATCACTGATCTACATCTCTACACGTTGTTTCAATAAAACCTCCCCAGTGGTTTTTATGCAATATTTTACCAACAAACGGTCGACTCTAACAGTTAATGTTGGAGCTACTACCATTTAAATTTTTAGCTCTATTTCTGTAAAACTGTCTAAACGTTAATCGGTTGTAGATGTGCATCTAGTGTCTGCAGGTTTTATTAAAATGTCTCCAATGGTACATGAGATATTTTGCTAAAAGCCACACACACACACACACACACACACACACACACACACACACACACAC